TACATTAGTATGTACATACATATGTATACAACATCGAAATACGGTGGCGAGAATGTAAAAAAAGACATCATAGAAAATGTTGGCTGTTTTTATTTGTTTATAAAATATAGCATACTAACTAAAAGTCGTGTAAATCTAAATTTCAAACTTTGGGAACATTTATAAAAATTTGATCAATTTTAAAAGNCATTGATGTTGGGAAAGGATAAGGCTGATTGATTTGATTCACTTGAAAATTATTTATACATACATACATTAGTATGTACATACATATGTATACAACATCGAAATACGGTGGCGAGAATGTAAAAAAAGACATCATAGAAAATGTTGGCTGTTTTTATTTGTTTATAAAATATAGCATACTAACTAAAAGTCGTGTAAATCTAAATTTCAAACTTTGGGAACATTTATAAAAATTTGATCAATTTTAAAAGGTATTTATCAAAATTGTTGAGAATTTTTTGAGTAAACAGTTTTGAGTGCCTTCAATTTTAGTATAACAAAGTACAAGTTCGAAGTACCTAGGGCGTACCGTTGATTTTTGGCAACTTTTTTCACGCATTTTCTCTCATACAAAGTATGTTTAACATTTTTTTGGATGGAGAAATTGACCAACAGCTTCCACAAAAAAAAAAAAATGCCAAAAATTAACGTTTGGTCCTAACTACTTCAAATTTACACTTTATTTTACTAAAATGGAATGGGCTACAAAACTGCATACTTATAAGGTTTCTAAGAAATCTAATTAGAAAGCGGAAGCTTCGTTGAATTGTGCTAATTTTTGTACAAAGTTTGAAATTTTGATATACATGGTTTTTGTTGGATAATGAGCTACACTTTCATGAAAAGCGAATGATAATTAAAAAAAAAAACGAAAGGGAAGTACACAAAAAATGCTAAAATGTCTCTTACAAATTTATATTTTCACCACTGCAAGTTAGATAACAGGTATGTATGTACGTACGTATGTATGCATGTAATATACTAAATATACACAATACATAACAAATTATGATTTTATAATACATATGTATTTGATTACTACTAATTTTGGTATATATTGCTGGTTTCATTTGATTTACATAAACAATTTAAATCTACACGCCTACGCTTTAGTCAATCTTTCGCGCACTCTCTGCTCAGCATTAATTAATAATTATTCTATTTTCACAACTTTGCTTTATTTATTTTTTAGTTATTTAAATATTTACATACAAATGCTGCGTTCGGTCCATTTTTGAACAAGCAACAAACTTTATTTTCTACCCTCCTCCTATTTATATTCTATATTTTATTTATATTTAATTAGCTTTTGTTGTTTTGCTTGCAAGCCAAATTTTTATATTAAGCTATTTATTATTATTGTTATTATTATATTTATGTCCTTTCAGGTTGCGTAATTCATACACAATTACCACTGGCCGGCATCAGCACTCGCAGTAGGGATGCAGAGCAGCGCAGTTACTTTGCCAATTAACTGTTAACGCCTTTGCCTTAACCAGCGTTGGTTGCAATTTTTGTTGCCTCTGCTTTTGCTGCTGTTGTTGTTGTTGTTGTTGTTGTTGTTGCGGCGACCTCACATCGCGCGTTACTATAAAAAATTCGTAAACATGTTGACAATCAAAACGTTGCGCAATCATCATCAATAATATTTGATCCTTTGACGGGTGCTTAGTGAAATTGGCAATTGCTGGATTGTTGCTGCCGCCACCTCCGCTGCTGCTGCTACTATTTGAGCAGTCACCAACTGCGCTACGCGTGCTAACACTGGCACCCGAAGCGTCAAATGTCAATGCATTTAAAGTTGTTGGCAAAGAAGGTGATGGGCTCCAGCCAGCAACTGTCAGCGACAGTTGTTGATGTGAGTTGCTCTGAAAATGCGCTCCGTTGCGCAATATTGCCTCGCCTCCCTGCTGCAGCTGGAACTCCAGCTCCTGTTGCTGCTTGTGTGCTTGTCGTTTTTTCATCAATGGCAATTTTTGTAATGGATTCGCCATTGCTGTCGCGAGTTGCCTGAACACCATCAATGGCGTTTGCGCCAATCCCACCACCAGTCGCACACACAATAATTTCAAATTTCTACCAACGCAATTATGAAAGGATTTTCGTTCTTTAGATGTCCGTTTGACTGTCAGCGATGAAGCAGTTGGTTTTTTAGATGCCGCTATTACATGCTCCCCATTTATTTTTTGTGTTGCTGCTGCTGCGGCAGCTACTGCAGTTACCTTCGATAGCAACAACGTGGCAGAAGGTACTGTTGCAATCAGCGATTTTCGTCGCGGCAGCATTGCTTGCTGCCCTTTTGCTGCCACAGAGTTCTTTCGCTTCCTTTGACAGCTTATAAAATGGCGTGTCAGTGTGCATACAAAGACGCTCGTGAAAATAGCAGTAAAAATATAAGCAACGCTTTCTCTGGCAGCAAATATCTCCAATGCAGCTCTGCCTTCTTCATCATTTCTTACTTCACTTAACCATTTGACATCCGAGCATCGTTGCTTCAGCTTCTTCTCCACTGCGAGCTGCTGACTGCTGGATGCCTGGATTGTTGCCACCGCCGCCATCAGACCGGTCCAAATGTGTTTCCAATGCATTTTCAAGGCTTTCGCATAGATGTGCGCTGTCGTACGGTGTATTGCTGTTGCAGAAGACGTGATGTCGGCGGCTACAAAATAGAAAGACACAGAATCAAGAGACGGAATGGAAAGGTATGTATGTACGTAAAAGAGTTTCTGATAAGCAAGAGAAATTGTGCATTAGTGTCAATCAGTTGGAATCTAGAATGTAATTTATTGTATGATTCCGTACAAGCTGCGCATTTTATTCGAAAAAAAGTATGCATTTCCATCAGGGTGGTCCAAAAACAGTAAAGTCGGAATTATAATGCTCATATACACATT